TAGAGCTGACGTTTCCATTGAATTTCACATTGCCTTACTTTCCCAAAAGTTGTTCTCATCCAGGGTGGACTGCAGTTATCAACACCCCCAACGGGAGTCAAATCATGACAGTGGTTGACACGGTAACCACTCGGGTACATTGCCACGAGTGCCTTTGGGTCACAGGGCAAAGCTGAATTTAAAGGGAGTCCAGGCGTTCTGCCATATCATATTCTTTGGTGTGATTGTCGATGAAGCAAACGTATATTTGCTATAGCAATCGACGACGTTACTTTATTTTTCGTATTTAAGTATTGTTTCGAGACTACTAGTAAATCAGTAATATGACATGTAAAATGTAGTTATTTTAGAGGCATGAAAGTAAATAGTGCTTTCGTCATGAGAAGGAAGAACAACCTTACCAGTTTTTCTGTTTTATAATTAATGATTTGACTGGAATTTTGGACCTGTGGCTACTTATGGAATTTCTTGGTGCCTCTAAATAGGAACTTGATTTCATTCACGTGTTATTAACACCACAAAAATTTCACTCTGATTCCAGGTTACGCAATCCTCGATGAATCTGATAACTGGCATTCTGATCCACTAAACAATCCTAACTTCGAAGAGGCGAGTATTCAATACTTTATAACTTTCAATCATCGCTACGGTAGCCGAACTACACTGTATAAAAACGTAGAGGATTGCGAGATGTACGGCATCCTGGACTTCAACCACGATGGCCTCACATTCCCTACTTGGCATCGTTACTTCCTGTTGATTTGGGAGAGGATGCTTGGCCAAATTGCAAATAAGGTTTATGGGATCACAGATTTCGCCCTACCCTACTGGGATTGGATTGGCATGCGTGAATGTGATATCTGCAACAACAGGTACATCGGAGCACCTGGAAGAAGAGATAGCATGGGCTTGCACATCAGTGAACGCCATCCATTCCATAATATGACAGAATTTTGCTACGAACCAGAGGATGGCATGCTCTGCTACGGATGCCAGAAGGCCCAAACTGTCGGGAAAATTGTACGTGAATGGAACAGCCTAGACTTCCCAACACAGGATAATTTTGAATTTACGATGAGTCGGAGACAGTGAGTAAACTGAAATTATTTTCTTAACTATTGTGTGAATATGATAACGAATTCATAAACATTGATATATAGCATGTCAATTGAAACAAAATTATTTACATGACTCTATGCAAAATTTTAAATTGTTTGGAAGACTTTCACGAGGAAGAGATTCGTTGGTTGATCTCACCGGAAGACGATGGCCGTTTATCATTGCTTTGCAGTCCTTTGGCTTTCATATGGCGTTCATGTTGATGCAGTCCACAAGTCATCCTCATCGGGTTAAGCTTTCTTCCTAATATATGATGGGCATCATCATAACTGGGATTTATTCTTTTAAAAGTCTCAAGAAGATCAAGAAGACTGTCCGGTTCTATATTACGTCTTATATATATGCTTGTAATTAAAAACTGAAAATACATAGACATAGCTAGATAGATATAGGAGTATATGGCCAATTCTCTTTCATACTAGTCACGGTACTTTCACTTGAATGTAGGTGTGTGCGGCTGGGCGTATGTTAACTCCTGTACGAACTACCGGTCCTAAATCATAGTGATTACAAAAGCCTAATTTCAGGATCGAGTCCTCAAGGCCTAATATCCCAACACAAAGACTGACCGAGACTGCGTAAGTCCGTAAGCAACCCTAGTTGAGATAATAAGATGTAAGCTTGCTGGTGTGCAAGTCAGGTTACGAAACTATCCGTGGACTGCGTAAAAATGAAATTCGTATTAAATCCAAACCACTGCAGAACAACATGAATTGGCCGACGTCTTCTGGTGAGCTCAACCAACGAATCTCTTCATCATACATTTTTACAAGAGATGAAATTCTCCTCATAAATGTTATCTTAGGAGATTCGTTGAAAGCCAGTTAAACTCCATATCTCACTATTAAGAGAACGCTGTCAAAGTATGGCTACAGAGTTCAATTGGTTTTGCTACCTACAATATTAATATAAGTAATTTTATGCAAATATAGAATATCAATAACAGTATCATGACTCAATAGTAAAGTATATACCAGAATGATGAATCTAACGTGAAACTAAATTAAGGGTTTTTCTATTAGCGCTCATCACTATAGTCTTGCATATCAACATTAGATATTTTTTTCAAAAATCCATTGATGTGAGAAGTTTTACTATATTCATAATGATGCAAAGTAAGGAATTGGATTAGCTTTCCCTCAATTTTCGTATATATGTATGGTACTTGTTTTATTTTATTAGTTTTTCAAATGCTCCCGAACTAACATTCATGAAAATAGCTTGACTCATTCGTGAGCTGCATTAATGTGTATTTTACTTACCTTCACTTGAACCCGAACTCACTGCTTCCTACTACACAGAATTTTTCAATTTTGCGGCTTCATAGCGTGGAAAAGGAGTTTACCCTATTTAACGGCATTTTACGTCAAGAATAGCACACGGTTAAACTTTATCAATATATCGCTTGCAGTCGAAATCCCCATCACTAATCAAGTTACTTGACTACCTCACCCATTTGAGTGGCTAGTGCACCAGAGGAATTAGTCAATCCCTTGTATTTTTTTATAGAATCAGAATGTATTTGTTGGATTATGGGTATTATGAAGTCGTTTTCGAACAGCAACATGACATGAAACAACTTTGACAACATGTCGCTCTTTGATTGTCATAAGCTGAGCCTCACATAGCATCCCTACTTGTTTTTGAAGCTCCTGAATAAGAGTTATTGCTTTGGAATGCCAGAAGGTACTATAATAGTTAGACATAATCATGCTGAAAGAAAACTCTGCACTTGAATTTTGGCAGAGATTTGAAGAAGAAGACCTAAGATAACGACTGATATTTAGAAGGCTTTAGGATAATATAATGAACCAAATGGTGCTGGCCTATTGGGCCATATAAATTCAACAACATAATGTCAAACACGAATTTGGATTTATCGAAGGTATGAAGACCAGGGTGGTTGCGGTGTGTATGGTAGCGGTCTCCTTTTATTGTATAGAGGTTGCTTGACCTTGTTTTCGCAACTTGATCATATTGGCAGGAAGACCTATAGGAAAGCGCCTGGTCCGGAGTCCCTATTATGCATGTTAATTTCTGGAGTCGGACCGTGGACTTGGTACATCCGCAGATGTTTCGGCGAATTGTAGTGTGGTGCTAAGAATGACAAGAGTCGCTGAAGATGCCGACTCCGTTGCTGGCGAAAGGGTCCGAATTTGGAAATTGTCATGCATAATATGGACTCCGGACAAGGTTTGTTCCTCCAGGTCTTCCTACCAATATGGTGAAGTTGCGAAAACAAGGCCAAACAACTTCTATACGAAGATGGATTTCCCAAAAATTGAATTCTTCTATCTGGAACATGAAGTGGCATAAAAGGACTAGGAAAGCAAATCGGTCATGAATGAAATGTCAGCGGAGGCTTAAGTTGGTTTATCAATGAAAACGATATACAACAATTCTGAAATTTCCTCATGGCAAATACTAGATTTCGACTTGACTATACCTTGCGTGGAGAAGTCTTCAGGTCAGATATTAGACCCTTCAAGCAAATGCGAGGAGTAGCTTTCTAAATGGATTCTCTTCTGCCTCCTACAATTTTTCATTTGAAACTTATGAGCATGATTCCTAAATTTCAAAGCCTTAGGATGCTTAATTATTGTGTCATAAGGCTGCAAGATGCACTAGTTATTTAAATTAGACTCTTGCAGAGGAGGTCATGGCAAATCTTAATCTGCAGAGAGATAAAAGCTCTAAGGCGAATTTTAAATTAAAAACCAAGTATTTTTGGTAAACATGACCAGAACATTCTGTATTAACCATTACAGAAATAGCCTCGATTCTTAAAGGATTTTAGGCCAGTCACAAAATACTTCAAGTTTTACTAACAAGCCAATAAATTTGATTACGACGGTCTTCTTTGGCACTATAAGGATCATTATAAAATAAAGATAGTCACTTTTATACAGAACAACTGTTGCGGCCACTTACAAACACCAAGGAAATCTCCTATATAATGTAGACAACTTATATATCAATCTATGCCTTCCCCAAGCCAATGGAAGCCAAGACGAAGTTGCTTGGCCTTGTTTTCACAACTTCGTCATATTGGCAGGAAGACCTAGAGGAATACACCTAGTCCTGAGTTCATAGTATGCACGATAAGTTCCAGAGTCGGACCGTGGAA